CACAGTTGCATCGCATTTACATAATCCCTCAGGTACAAGTAAAGGAGTGTTGAACATCGTGTAACGCAGTTTTCAAGAATTATGCTTAACAACAATTCTTACATGAATTCAGTGGATCTCGTAACAAGTTATTTTGAACCTTAACGACGAACTAGTGAATATACCAGTCTATAAAAAACTTTTGACCAGCGAACCAAAATAAAGCGGTGTTCGTCCACTTTTAATATATAGAAATTTAAGGTTTAATTATCAGTTCTAATCAAATTTTTGGAGGACGGGGTTACATCTTATGTTGATTATCATACTGAAGAGTAAGCCATGCGGTGGATCAAGAAGCAAGAGTGCGGTCACAAGAAACGTTTGCATCGGATAACACTCCTGCACATCTCACTCCTTTCGGTATGAATACCAATACAGAGTAACATTGCCATGTTGTTCACATGCCAACGACTTGATACCCGTTAATTGGCTGGTTACACCAAAGCAACATGATGAAAAATCCTTGTTGAATGGAATTTGCAGTTAAGACAAATTCTGTCCTTTCTTGGGACTCCAATCTGGCACCTTTGGGGTTCAAACCCGACGTCTACACTACTGTGCTACCGTTCATTTTACTTTATGAACTCCACGCTGTATTCATATCGAACAAAAAAGACAGCCATCAACTGCGTCAAGGTAAGCTGAACAACATGAATACAATTTACAGAAGCAGAAATTAAGGAATAGAAAAGGCAAGAGACTGTATATTTTGGCATTATTAATATACTATTTTTTCACACTCGCAAACCAGTTATTGGCGTTTACACCTGAAAATATCAAGACGTGCAGCTTGTGGAAAAAACTTGCAAAACAGACGAATATTCGCATCATTATATGAGTTCGAACTAAGAATTTTCAGCGAGGAAAGCAAATAGATACATTTCTGCATCACCGATCCCAAAATTATCTATTTTAATACTTAACAGATCTTTACCTAAAAAAGATATCTGATAATAAGGAAAGATAACTGTCATATTTTTTCATTTTCTATATAGTTGAAAAATTGAACTGACATTGCTAAAATTTTCAAAGCAGTGGTTCAACTGCCAGTTAAGCCGCTTGATAATCTGAGATAGAAGCGTGGCTTCGAGTAGGAGACAATTATCTCGGCAAACTACCTCGAGCAACAAACTCTCCCTGAAGTGCTTATATGCAACAATAAACTTAAACAAAAACGAGAAACGCCCAAAGCAACCGGTGATCATCAACTGTTTCCTTCTTTACCAGCTACGGCTTTACGATGCTGCGAATCCAAAGCGGCATCGATTTCGTCGAAAAGATAGAAGGGAGCAGGATCGCACTTTTGAATCGAAAATATCAAAGCCAAAGCTACGAGAGATTTCTGGCCACCAGAGAGCTGCTGCATGTCCTTTGTTTCATCGGTGCCGCTGAAGGTCACCTGAAAGCAAAAATCTTTAATTAAGGTCATCAAAAGAAAACGAAGCGTATTGCGTATGAGGGAGAGAGACGCAAATTGTGACTTTTACCAGCGGTAGGATCTAGCATGCTTCATAAGGTATTTTAGTCACGGAAGAACCTGAGCGGTCAACTAACAAGCTGTTCCGTGTTCACATAGATGTAACCACACTGCGGTGTGCATTCACTTGTTGAACCCTTATCTCTCGGCCTCCTTTACTGCGTAAGGTATTTCTTTCGGCTGTTCACTCGTCTGACCTCTGATGTGGAAGAGAACACAAACACAACTGATCAGCAAACACGGAGAACAATCGACTTCGCTTTAATCAACATTTCTGGTACCACCAGAGCCAGAGACTTTTCGGTCTGGGGTTAAATGAAGCCTAAGGGGGTAGAAAATTTGTTCAGATTCCTGTTCAAAGATGCACAATTAAAAGCAATTGAAGCAATACAGTTAGGAAGTGAATGCCCTTTTTAACCGAATTCTTCTGCCTCACTTTTGTGTATGCGTCACTCTTTGCAAAAAACTTTTCATGTTTATCGTGTTATCGATGGAGGACCTGGATGCTCATCAGAGACACAAAATCAATATGAGCTTAAAAATAAATTCATCACCCGCCCATGGTAAGCTATAGGACCAAGAAGTCAAAGAACCGCGGCTTCTGGTTATGGCGGGAGTTCGCTATATATCTGCACAATTTTTCGCACTGAGGCACGCAGCAAGAAAAAACAATCCTTCCAAAAACACAACATCATACCTCAAAGCAATAGGGAATAAAGATAATACCTCATTTCACATCTGCTTGTGCTGTACGTAGAAAGGAGGGCCAGGTGTCGCAAAGGCGAGGATTGTAAGAACGTAAGGAATGTGGAGATGAGGAAGTTGCTATCTGCAAGCGATCTTATTTTGTTGGCATCTTCTGAAACTGATCTCAGCGCTCTCAGGAAAGATTCGAAGTCTAGTGCCATGCGGCAGACCTGCGCGTTAACGTGTCTAAAACGCAAAGTCGAGTGCCTTCTCGTCCTCCTGCTCACTGCGTTCCGCGGATAATCAGAAAGCACTGGAGCAAGTGGAGAGGTTCACATATTCCGGAGTCGCATTTACTGTGAAGGGAAATGAGAGGAAGTGATCGGTCGGTGAATTGGAATGAACAAGGTGTTCTGAGTGAACTAGCCTTAACTGTTGTGGTTGAAGTAGGGCTGAGTCTGAAGACTAAACGCGCTATGCTCAAGTCGATCTTCATCTTCACGCTCACATATAGTCATGAATTGTGGGCCATGGCTGAAAAGCTCCCATCTTCGGTACAGATGGCCGAAATGGGCATTCTGAGAAGAATCGCTGATCTCACGCGTTTCGATATGATCCAGAGTTCAGATCTCAGAGAAAACCTTGACAAACAGCCGTTGCTTCTCCAGATGAAAAAGTTACAGCTGCAATGATTCGGGCACGTCTAGCGAATGCCTCGAGAAAGAAAGGCGAAAAAGGCATTACTTGTTCGGCCGACGGTCGTAGACCCCGAAAACGGCTAAGAATAACGTGTGAACAATTATCTCGAAGTTGTCAGCTCGAGATTTGTGTTATCTTCTGCCTAAACTGAAACGCTGGAAACATTACCTAACGCGTCTGCCTCGGCGATCCGAAAGAATAAATAGTCATCGAAGCTGGCTGACTGTCGAGTAGTTACAAAAAGGCACTCGATCATTATCAAATGAAGTTAGAAAGACGCAAACATACTTTTATACCAACACCAGTGAACTGGTCGACCTGCGTCGTTGTATCATAATTCGGGTCTTCGTTTCCACCCGTCTTCATAATTAGGCTGGCGCTTCCGGCGGGAACGAGTTCATGAAAGACGTCTTCAAAGTACTTGGACACCTTAAACATATTGTCCTGGTTCAATAACTTCAAAAAAATCATTACTAATAAGATTCGTACTTGTTTGAAGGTAAGCAAAATAGCCTCGCACTTACGTTGCTCCAGCACCGAAAGCATATCCAGTATGGCCTAAACAGCGCATTTGTACTTTAAAGTTCTGAAATAGTCATACGCAGACACATTGTGGATGTACTACCATTGGATTGGCAATTAGATTTCTTAACTTTCTTAACTTTGGATCGCTTCTAGAGAGAATAAAATATAAAATATTATTGACAATTTGCCATGCCAGTTATGCTTGACTATGACTTATTGAATGCCGTAAGGGGGTTACGGCATCATTACTTTTCTTGTTACATTTGCTATTGTATTCTGTCCTGGGCAATGTCGGATATGATTGCAAGCCAGTCGCTGTACCATTTGTGGCTCACATTTTGCCAGTAAGTGTGCCCCATCTGCGTAACCTACAGTTCGTCTCAGATGTTATGCAGCCATAAAGTTGTCGGCCTGTATGTCGGTCTCTTCCAGAACGGGTTTGGCACACTACGAATCAAGATTCTGATCATCCGCAGGTCGTCTCGTTGCAATGCCTAGCCGAGAAGCGAGAGTTTGTTTTAGTTCTTATATTCGCCAGAGGGAAAGTTGATTTTATTCCTTGCTTGACAAACTCCATTTGTACTCGTTCCA